GCCCTACAATATCCTACTATTAATCATGTAAGGCGTTAAATGGGAACCGGTCGAAAAAGTTGTCCGATCCCAGACATTTTCCATAACTTGCGTTCTTGGGGCCCGAGTGGGTACACGTCAGTGTATCAGATTTCATCAAAAGATTTCAAAAATTGAATACAAAAAAGCAAGACATACTGGCGGACGGACCCAAACCTATAAAATTCTTTCGATAAATAGCACAACTCTATACGCGGTTTTTTAAATGTAAACATGTGAGAACATTATAGTCGTATAGGGTTAGGTCGACTATTCAATACCCTACACCATATTGTCTCAGACAATTTTTCTTTTTCTCATAGAATAGAAAAATTATACTCTGTTTTTATAGGGACATAGTATTATGGGACTGTATATTAAAAATTAGACACCTTTGCAAACGAAGTCTTGCGTGCCCCTAAAATGTTTGTGTCCAAGAGCTTCAAAAATAGAGTTACTTTTCATATCATTTTTATGTCAAATTGGTATGAAAACTTTGGACTGGCTGGGGCAATTTTTGAACCCCCTCTCAAACGACGAAAAGGTATAATTTTCAATGCCTCGTCATGGAAATTATATCATAGTAGAAATTTAACATAAAAAAATTTACTCTACCAGATTTGTACCATATCGGCCTATTTTTTGGAACTTACCCTATGAAGGATTTCACGAAAATTGATTCTTTATAGGGCAGAAAAGTCCAAGTTTTAATATGTGGCGATGAAAATTGACTCATAATATTATAGCAATTCATACAAAAATGAATTCTACAAATTTGGGGTACCTCCGCCTATTTTTGGATCCTGCCCTATGTAAGGATTAAATTTAAGTTGCGTTTTGGGCCGTCTTCTCCATAGATACGCACTTGAAAAATATGCCTTAATATAGAAATAAGATATAATTTTTGTATTCTACAACAGGTTTAAGAATTTTGTTAGACAATGTGGTGTAGGGCATTTATGGTCGATTTTGCCAGACTATAATGTTCTTATTGGTTTGTTAGATATTTTAAGTGCATGATTACATGAAGAGACAGACACGTGTGCATACCATTTTAATAGGAAGAGAAAGTAGTGTCATCAGCAATAGATTTAATAGATGATGAGTTTACAGATTAGATATTTTTATCACTTTGTTAACAGAATGGTCGAGGATATTTCCATTTAACAGAATGGTTGAGGACATTTATTGAAAGCAACTCTGTGCTCTCTCCATTCTCAACGTACGGTGCTTTTTTTATAAATGATGTAAAGGAAAAAACCACCTAACGGCTTTTAACGAAAAATCAAAGCCATTTTGCAAGTGCACAAAGAAGTGACGCATGCTGTTGGAGTGACGTATGTAATTTCCGGTAAAATATTAAAACGATTTTTAACAGAAAAAAAGAGCCAGAGAGAGAGAGAGATGGAGAGAGATTGGGAGAGAGAGGAAGAGGTCTTTGAAAATGCGAGGAAAAAAAAAGAATATATTGAGATATAAGTAAAGGATTCCCGTATAAAATAATTCTAAAATTTCATTAAGTTCTTGCAGACGACAGAAGTAAACATTTCGTCAGGGGTGGTGAGTTGCTGAGAAACGATGTTTGCTTAAATGTGCCTTTTTCATATCTCTCTCTATCGGTTTCCATAATATTAACAACAAAAAATATTTCCAGAAACCAAGTTAGAAAAAACGCTTTATTTTACTTTTATTCTTTTATTACTTATGGTCTCGTAAACGCGTAGAATACAATTTCAAATTAACTTTTCTACGCTCAAATAATTTTTTAATACTTGTTTTTAATTTGACTCTTTTATTAGATTAATGAACACATTATTTAATATGTTCTTGCGTGACAACGTATATCAGTTTAGTTTTTTTTTTTTAATTTTTCCTTTTTTTTGCTCTTTTCATTTTTTGTTTTCATTTCATCATTAGAAGCTTAGGTTTGTTGCTTAATACTAAAAATATTTTTTACTTTAATAGAACTTAATTCAATTATGTGGGGCTTCGCGATTTAGTTATTCGGTGTGAGCACTGACCATGCCAGACTTTTGCGTAAAAACTTGAGTTCACCTGCGGATCGTAGAACGTAGATTGCTGCAGGTATTTGATAGCTTCATTTGCCAAACAGAAAGCATACCCTGGGTGATTGGGTGATCGTTACAAGGAAAAGAAAATCGATCAATCCGTCCGTTGCTAGGGTGTTCTGTGGAAAACATCCATCATAGCCGTACTTTGTTTTTGCATGATTACAAGGTATCAATTGGAATAGGTTTGAGAGAAATGAAGTAAATTTTCCAAAAGCGCTTGTAACCCATAAGTGATGTCGGGCTGTGGTAAACACGGCCATGTCCCGCAGTGAACGAGTTAAAGTTGCCTTCCGATTTTTTTTAATTAAAACCGTTTTTGTAATTTAAAACAGTCTAATATATCCATGGCGAACTTTTCTCTAATAATAAGAGAACTACAAATTTTCTTAGCTATGAAATTATGAATAATTTATTTTAAAAGTCAATTTATACTCTAATGTAAATCGTAATAAATATTTACTTAAAACATTTTTTAACAAAGCAATTAAAAGCTAAATATACCTTTTCTCGCTATTATGCACGCGGTATACGAATATGCAAACAATCATTTTTGTATGTTTTCACTATTATGCAGTTAATCGATTCGACAATTACGGCATTCATTTGTGTAGGTTGTTGCGCTATATCATTTACTTTAACAGATAGAAGCTTGCGTGTAGATGTGTGTCTTGTAAAGGTATTGCCTTGGATCGCGAGAGTTCCTTTTTAGCTGCGGGTGTTCAGAAAAAAGTTTTCATCCCATCTTATCGATATCATTGCTGCAAAATACACGAAACTCAAGTATTTACACTGATTTCTATGGCATATCTATCACTTACCTCAACGAACATTCTTAGGGAGTAAGATTTAGAAGAATCGCCTTTGACTCTGTAGGGCATCGGTCTTAAAATCATCTTGGAAGATTCGAATAAGAGAACAGAAGTAGGTCCTTACTATTCTCAAAAATCCTCACAAATTACCGCAGCTGAATTTTACGTTGGTCACTAGTTAAGATTCTAGGCCGAGTTAAGGTTCCTTGCTTGATGAAAGAAAAGGGCGTACAAAAAGTACAGATACACTAGAAGCTATTAAAACCAGACTTCGCTTTTATGTGAAATTTACATATAATTTTTAATCCCCAATGATTAACAAAATTTTCCATATGTTGAATAGTGAACTACACAAACCTCTCTAGAACCGAATTTGTCGTTTATAGCTCAAAACAAATTCGGATCTACAGGGTAGATGTAGGGCAAATCAAAAAAATTGAAAAAATATCAAAATTTTCCAAAAATACTACAACGGCCATCGACACGACATCACCTATTGCTTCCGAAGAGGCCTTGCATGCCAAGAATCCACATTACCTGACCACAGAAGGAACTATTATCCAAACTTCTCGAGCGGAAAACTGCCTAGTCGTTTAGTGCTTTTACTTGTAAAGTCTCGAGCCATAAAGTGTAAGATTGTTGCCTTACCTGGTCTTCACAATACCTCACTGTGAAGACAGACGTCGAGGCGAAGTTCAAGTTTGACCGTAAAACATCTCCAAGAACACAGGGATGGTGTGCTTAAAATTTTTACAAATAGTCTCTGAAAAGAAATAAATGAGAAAAACTTATAACCATTGCGAGGGTCGACTGAAATTTGCCTGTAAATGAAAAATATTATTAAGCCTGATGCGTTAGTTATAGGCAAATATTTAGCAGAATTATGGGCAGACCAGTCTGGTTTTGGTATCATGCAACACAACATTGCCTCATCTTGCATTGATATCTGCAGACTCTCACTGCGAATTCAATTCACTTCGTTGTATGATCATTTCCATCGTCTGACTTCTGGTTATCGTCAGAACTCCAAAGTCGCTCGGCGGACATTGTAGTGACACGGCGCTGAAGGGATAAAGTTGACAGTTCTTCTTCTTCTTCTGCGAATCTGGAAATGAACAACAAATGATTTACTGAGTTGGCTAAGAAAGGTTCAATACTAACACGAAATTCTTTGCTTGAACTTTAATAAAAATGGCGGTTGACTTGATTGTAGATGTACATATATGTGCGTGCAAGTCTTTGTTAGGATTCTGAAAACAAAAGAAAACCATAACCGTTTGGCTAAGCCCTGACCTGTTTAAATGAAAAGTTTGAACTGCCTTTTGATTGTAGAAAAAAAGGTAGACTTTGAGAGGAAAGAGATTTTAATTATATATCGGGTAAGAATTGATTGGCGTTGTAGTGAGCTTTTCTGTCGTTCTCTTTTTGTTTGCCTTTTTCTTTTTTTAGTGAAATAATTTAAATTTATTTACAAGTTACTATTGATGTTCTATTTAGATGGCGTGCAACACGTAAATATTAATTCATGTGTGCGCGCGAGACTGCCCAAGTGAAAACAAGAAAACATCCATCCATCCAGTCTTTTCATGTAGTGTATGAGAATAATGAAACAATCTAATCTATAAGAGCAACCTATGACAGAACCTCACCGAACTATGTTTATGCAAAACTTGTAATGTGAAAACTTTCTTTTATGATTTGCCGTTCGTACGCCTCGTATCCAGTCTTTGTTTGTTTGTGTTTTCATAGTACCAGGCATGTTGTTTGCAATCTGACAATACTCGCGTGTCCTTACTCTGGCGACGATATGTTGCTGTTTTCCGTAATAAGCCCTTGCTATGGCATCATTAGATATTCAAAGTTGTTGTTGTTCTTGTTGTTGTTGTTGTTGCAATGTTTTTATGTTTCTTATCGTATTGAAATACACGCACACACACTTGCATACAGACATATGTTTAAGAAGTGCTTGCATATGTGCAGGTGATGTTTTATTTTACGAAATCAATTTACTGGGAATTTAGGTTAAAGAAATTGTAACGCAAATAACACATGTTATGCGCTGAATATGAATATATATATATATATATATATATATATATATATATATTTATATTTTTTTTCCTTAAGGTAACAAGTAGAACTAAATTTATAGTTTATAGTTTGATTGTACGATAAAATTTAATCAAAATTCATATAACATTATACAATAAGTGACTATTATTGTTGAGATATATGAACGCTTGAAATAGAAACGATATCTTTCTATATGTTTATATAGAAAATGTGTTAGGTTCTCTTTCTCTCTCTCTCTCTATATATTAGTAATTTCTTCTCCTGGCATTGATTAGATAATGTGTAGCTCTTCTAATAATCGAAGCAGATAAAAAATCTATATAGAATTAAAAAAAAAACTTACTGAGACCCTTATGTTAGTACAACATACAAAATATTCCAAATTATCTCAATTTTTTTTTCAAGTTTATCTTTAAATGATTAGAATAAGTGATATCAAAAATGCAGATGTAACTATTTGTTATGCTTCCAATAGGGTGTAAAAAATCCAAAGTCTTTATGCGCACCAGAAATTTAGTGTTCGCTGGTATGCAAGTTTTCTCACACGGTTTGCATTGCTAGCAAACGCTCATGAGAGAACACATGAAGTATTAGGTATGTATCTGATAAGCGTATGATAGAGAGCTCTTGCGCTTGCAAAAGGTTTCGGATAGAACACTGAAACTTATCCCGCACATACCATGTGATAATCCGAATCAAAAAAGTGGTCGTTACGAGCATACGTCCGGTCGAATTTGCTAAACCAGTAAGAAAAGTTATGGAAGGTTAAAATTTTCACAGCCCTTTTACCGCCCATAAGTGATGTTAATCTGAAATGATACATAAAGATTTATCGAGTTATTCAAGAGTTCAATTCAAATATGGTTTCATTGCAGTCACTAACGTCCTCATAATTGCTAACAGATACGAAGAGATCTAGATACGCGCTTGAAACGGCGGATATTGCAAATGTCCTCTCCCATTATACTCTACGCCGATTGTACAAGGGTATAATAAGTTAGTGAGATAGACCCACATTTTGTTAAAGGAAAAAGTTTATTTATATAAATTTGTACGTATGTCTGTCAGTCTGTCTTGTTTATTCGTGTGCAACCTACAGGGTGCAATTTTCGAAATCTTCCGATGAAGTTTCTTTTCGACCACTCCGCCAATAAAGCCTTATTTTGAAAAATCATATTAAAGGACGTGCAAGAGGATATTTAATGGCGGGCCGCGGGCCACTACTTGTTTTATCTCTCATACTAAATTTCTGATAAGCGAAAAATATATTAATTTCGTCATTGCTTTTGAAAAGAAATATATGTGAGTCAGCCGTAAATTCGCGCACCCACCAGCCTACTTTTGAATTTTTTTTGAACTCACAAAAACTGACCTATGAAAGTGAAAGTTAACGAGTATATACTTAATGCTAATCCTTACTGTACTCCCTCTGCTCACAAGTAGGATGCGTGTCAAAAATATAGAATATTGGAAAAAAAGAGAGAACTTTGAAGTATTGCAGCCGAACACTTGCAAACTGTAGGACATATGTCCTATAATATAAATTATAGTCCAAATAATTAACAAAGCCAGATATCTGAGAGTCGAATATATATATTATATACATATATATATTTGTATTAAATATAACTATTACATATAAAATAAATTTGTCTCGATTAAAGGGCACGCCCCCAATTGATAAACAACTTCACAATTATTCCTCGAATTACATAAGCAAGATTTTGCCTTATGTTCATTTACTAGTTCGCTGACTATTGAAAGTAAGGCAAACTCGCGCTAGATCGCTTCGCAGTGTATAATAGAAACTTTTCGAAATATGCTCGGAATTTTTAATAACGCTCAGCTTGACATTACGTATAAATCACCACCTCTCCAGATGCACACATGTACGTACATATATACATTTACACACTCATGTATACATTCATAAAATTACTTGTTTTTATCAGTGAGCTGCGCAATAGCACACTGCTCCCAAAGAGCATATATACAAGCACAATATTTTTGAACTCTGATTTCCCTTGTTTCGTAGTTTTCGTTTTATTTTCACATTTTATTTGTTTTTTTCTTTTCCCAGTAACGCTACAGGGTTGAAATGTGTATCGTCACCAAGAGCCACCCCTGGGTATACGTATATATTTAGATATATACATATGTGTGTAGTTACTTACATCTGTGTATGGCTGCGTTACAGAGTCAAATAATAAAGTCACTGTATAATGGTAAGCATACGCACACACACACACACAACAGCAACAATAGCGACAAAGAATACAAAACACACTAAAATGGCACATGACTTTGGCAAAATTCACAGATAATAGAATGAAATGTGGAACAAATCATTATTAAAACTAGAACCAACCAAGCAAGCAAGCAAGCAAGCAAACAAGCCATCATGTTTCTCTCCTTCCGTTCTTTTCTCTCCTTTTTGCTCTCCTTTTCTTCTTTGCTTTATTTTCCATTTTATTTTAAAATTTCTTTTTTTTTTTTCTATGAATTTACTGCCCGCAGCAGGATGCTTCTATTCGTTCTTGAGGAAAATTTACTGACAGTTTAATCTGAAAATACTTATAGGGTCCGTTTAATTTTTCAATTTTTACTCTATTTTTAATCGCAAAACTGTAATAGAGGTTCTTTTCTCCTCCTAGGCTTAGTTGCCATTGATAAAAATTCAATAGCATTAAATGGCTTAGTGGGGTAACTTGAAATGACGGTCGCCTAGCTTTCACGTCTCCGCAAATACATTACTTTATATGTTGAGCATTCTCACAGCTCACCACACTGGCAGCATAGATTTTATAATGAATTGTTTCTACTTTGAAAATGGATTCAACTCATTATCCAGTTTTTAGATGCGGAAAAACAACAAAACATAGACCGGTACGGCCTATGGAGATCTGAATACTTTAGGCTGATTATGTGTTACGCGCCTATGAACACTTAGATGCATACTTGTATCTCTTGTGCCACTCTACCACTCTAGAGAGCTTATTAGCACTTGCGAAATGCTTTACTGCCAGTCACTGTGTAACGTTCATGAAAATACCATCAAGGCCGACTTCCGGAAAGATCGTACGCGTCAAGGAAGCGTTATGAGTTAATTTAAATCATTTCTTAGTGATTACATGTATAAGAGAAGAGAAAAAAAAAAAAGCAATCGGCTATCAAAGCAAAACGAACAAGTTTTCTTTCCGGCGGTAAAATGCATTTAGCTCACGTAAAATTGATTGAAGTGAAATCGTGAGTACATTGCATATTATAGATGGTAGTAGATTAGAATCATCTCTTTGGAGACTTTGCAGCATTCAGTGTGTCAAACAAGTTTATGAAAACGGAAAGATTTTTTTTCTGCTAGCAGAGAGTGGGCCAGTAAGCAATGAACAGAAGGAGTTATTACATTCTATCCACACAATACACATATACATTTATCTGCCATACTGATAAACTTCGTTTAGCTCTTGTCATCCTTTAGCAATGGATATTAGAACTAAAGAATGATAAAAATGAATTGATAATACATGGGTCCATAAGTCGTGGGATAAATTAAGAAAAAAAATAAATCTCTTTTGTTTTGCATCATGCAAGTCAACTTTCTTCACCGGCTTACTCTCCTTCAAGGGCCACTTTCCTTAGTATCCCTGGGTTTTTCTTTACAGAACGACTTGTCAAAACCTTGAAAATACAGTTCAGTTTCCGTCATAGCCCACTATGTGACTCAAATCTGACTGTTGGAGGAACAATTTCAACTTAAAGTCAAACAATTGTGCCATTGCAGCCATCGATTTGTAACATGGAACATCGCTTGGTGAACAATCACTTCTTTCTTCGTCAGTTGAGCCGATTTTTTTTTAACGGTTTCATCCGTTAATCAAACGAATCATCCTCCATTTTTCAAGGTAGTCGATGATAAACAGAATACAAAGCGTACTCTTCGCTTATCGAGAAAAACTTTCACAATTTTTTTTTTTAATACATTCTGCGGTATCCACCCCTTTTGGGCGTGCACTGCATTCAACGGCATCTATGCCTCATCATACGGCTTCATATGAAATCAGTGAAGCAACGACAGATTGTGGTTTTTTACAAGGGATGGACGGTTTCATATCCACGAAAAAACACACGAAGTGTGGATTTTTTCATTGGTTTAAAAGGAACAAAAACCTTTGTAATCCGTCAAGAAATGATCGACACTAGATGAAATTTTTAGGGTTTGATGCTTGACACCTTCCAAAATTATATGGAGTGATCTCCAAAGCTATTTTTTATGCATCCGTGCTGGGACTTACTGATCAATATCTTATATTGTAATGATGCGGAAGCAGGGATCATCGCTAAACTTTGTAATAAATATTTCGCGTAGTGAATATCGCGTAGTGATATATCTTAGCAGGCGCTTACCTCTAATTAAACCTTTGCTTAGTTTTAGTTTATTTGTTGCAGACGACTGCTCAGATTAAATATTAACTTCGGAGTTCTCGCTATCTAGTCTGTAAAAGTGCTTTAGATTATTTCTATCGAAAGTACAAGATCCTCTAAGCGGATTTACCCCCTCCGAAGGTTAAGAAACGTATTGCAGCGCTCCATTCTCTCTTTTGAACACCTATTGCAATTACAAAAGAGGGATCAAGTATACTTGAACGTGTTGGAATTGCTAAAAAGTTTGATGATATCAAGCTAAAGGGTCGTAGAACCCTACCTTTTCGCAACGGAAAGATATTAGGGGGCTCCCGCTTAAAGGTCTGTGAAAAGATAGGAAATTTATCAAATATTGAAAATAGTGCCCAGTGCAAGTTCAGTATATTATAATAAATATTGTACCCTTCTTCAGTGGTCGTACAAGAGGATATGAAGTGTTTGCGTATGTACGTAACGTTCAGAAAGACTTGAGATGCATCCCATTTTTATTATATCGACCGATTCACAATCAGTTTCTGAATTAAGCTTGTCTCTCCGTCTGCACCTCTTGTTTTTCTGCCACCTACAGGCCGCGAGTTTTGAGATATTTTGATAAAATTTTGCACACTGATGGGTTATGGCCCAAGAACGAACGCTGCTGAAAATTTTTCAGATCGGATTACTTTTTCAACCATTTCTCATAAAACGCCTTACTTTGAATAGTCATCATATATGAGTAGCTGTTGGGAGGTGTAGGGTATTTAATGGTGTGCCACTCAAGCGTGAAAGGAATTTATTTGTTTGTCAGTGTACCACTGAATTGCCGAGCTTCGATGCATCTATTTTATTGTATTGAATTGTTATCTGAAAGATGCATTGTATTAGACCACTGCCTTAGCTCGCCAGGCTTAGGATTCTTATGAATCCAAAGGTCTTTGTTTCGGAGCACAATAGTCCGTCTGGCGTTATGAAGTGTTCGCCAAATACCTCGTGTCTGATTTTGCAGATGGTCTCGCATCAATACAGGATACGATGGGATGTTTTCACTCGTCCATTGGCAAAATCTGTAAGAATCGGCAATAGAGATACCTATGTATTTCGCAAGATACCTGAGGGAATTATAACCTGAACGTTGTAAGTTTTTTGTACTTATGTCATTTATCATATCTTCTGTAAATAAATTTAGAAAGTGTGGTGTAAAAGGTTGCCGTACAGTTTAGATCACATGCTGCCCCGTATAAAAAGATCTATCGTTCTTATATATATATAAATATGTGTTTGCCGGTCTTGCAAAATCTCTCATAATTATATTTGTCTCTGTACTATAATCCAACTAATATCTACCTATTTAATACTTGTAATAATAATTGTGCGTTTATTTCTAATTATCATCTATTCTATGCATTTGCAATTATCACACGCCGTTAACTGCTGAGTTTATATGTATATATATACATATATATATAAAAAAGGCATTCTCTTAACTCATTCATTTAGTAGTTGGATTAACGTCTTAAAGGTATATTTATACCTTTAAGCAGATCAACAAACTTGTATCAAAGTTAATAAAACGCATCAAACAAAGGAAATTATTTCTAAAAAACGGCGGAAAAGTCATTAAATGCATACATTTATTATATAAAATTACTAACTTACTCTCGTCGCATAATGTTTGAGATTTAATGTGCTTGTGTGTGTTCGCTTATAGCGGCTTACTGAGGAGTGCACAGGTAGTAAAACTTTTCTACTTGCCTAACTGCAGGCAGCTGTAGAGTGTGTAGTGAAAGCGAATTATATTTCGTACTCTTTTACTCTTCAAGATAGAAATGAAGTCAAGTAACACATAGTCGTCACTCATCTATGTTGGTGGTTGTTTATTTGTCGTCCCCTTAAACGTGAAGGTAAAGTGTCCATGATTTCATGATAGACGGCATACATTTTCTGTGAAAAGAGAGAAAGCATACATTCTTCTTAGTATTCTTCTGTTCATTTAATAAAACAAGTCATAAAAATATTAGAGCGAATTTTGAATACCCATCACTTTGAAATATTTTTCTCTTAATTGCCGATGATTGCTCGTAATTAGATTCAGTTTCACTTTAACAATTAATTAATTCGTATAGAGTGGGCGTGTAATCTACACATTTTTCTATTCTTCTTTAAAAAGTTCAAAAAGCGAATAAGGTGAGACGGACGGATAGACACTAGACTAAATCATCGTTAAACATACTTCATGCAAGCTGCGAAATATTTTGTTTAAGTGCTACCAAGCGAATGGTGTAAATATACATTTACTCTGTTAGTGTATATAAAAATTGATTACAGTATTTAACGCTGGTTAAGCATTTGATGAGAAACCTAACGGTGCACTTAATTAGAATACAATGCAGCTTTAAAAGCAAAGTTCATGTTGTGTTACTTGCATTGATAATAATGTAAGAAAACAAGTTAACAACTTAAATCGTTAGACGTAGTGGACTTGCTTAGCCCCTCCACTCTTGGGCGCATAATACTGGTGAGGGTAGAACATTAATAGAAATTTTTAAGTATGGAAATCTCGGACGAATGTAGTGCAAAGCGAAAAGTTGAAAAAAAAGAAGGGAAGAGAGAGAAATGTGATTAACAAATGACATACAATGGAGAAAAAAATCTTTCCGGCAACAGTAGTGTTCCAGTGGAACACTACTCCCACGCCCTCAGTTCATATCTATATATTTTATTTAGCACAAGTATGCTTTAAAAGTTTATACTTATTCACTTCTTCAGAACAAGTTTTGATTAAGTGAAAGGCATTCGGTATGCAGCGAGTCTTAATGATTCACTTAAGCGCTTAAGAATTTTTCCTTCACCTCTGATCTTCACACAATGCTGAGTTTGAGAATGAATTGGAGGCATTCGAACTCCTACTTGATTACCATTTCCCATTTCGTGTAGGTAAAGTATTTTAGGTGTCGACAAACGACCATTTTTGCGATGTAGTCTACTTTGGCCTCAAACGCGATTCTTTGAAAACTGAACTATTCTTTTGTATGCTAACATAGCTGTGCTTAGGCGTGCAATTTATCTTTAAGAAGCAATAAGTCTGTGAATGAGTTCGTGCTGTGTACCCGTAAGTGGGCAAAGAAATGTAAAATCACTAAATTACCAAAATATAAGAATTATTTATATCTTTTTCATTCCGAAGGTTAATTTAAATAATTTTTCTTTTACAAACAAATAGGCGGGAAAAGGCAATAAAATTAATGTACATCTAGCAAAACATTCACCTTTTATGAACGATCCAAGACAACAAAAAAAGAGCGCATCTCTCATTCTTCCCTAATGCGGTGTCTCAGTGTAAACAACGACAATGGTAAAAATTGCACAAATTTTACTCGAAATTATTCGAATTGTAGCGAGTCGTCTGATAACGTGTTGCATGCGTAGCAATTTTCATAAGAACATGAGTTCGAAATTTTACGGAATCGAATTTAACGGAAAGTTAGTCGCGAAAACTAACATTAAATGAATTGAAAAATCCGAGCCATCGTGAATGGCAGATATTTTAACGGCGAAAAAAAAAACTTGAATTAACAAATCGTCAATTAATTAGTGTTGCATGATAACGTGGGCGAATTTACTTACGACAATTACGGTCCTTGGTTGCCGGATAAAGTGGAAATCGTATATAATTGAGAAAAAAGGCTTTAAAATAGTTCTTTGTCCAATGCTGTTTGGGTTTGCAAAATAAAATATATAAATTTTTCCCCTGCAACCTAGACATGTCACACTTCTCTAGCAGTTACGGGAACTTAAAAGTAGCTGAGCATGATTTGGCCGCCTGTTAAATAAGCGGAAAGTCTTCATGCCATTCAATTGGTCTGCAAGAGTTTAGCTTTGAAGCATTTAAGCTTAAACTGAACTCTAAGCAAAATTTTTGCTCCTAATTTAAAAGAAAGCGTCAAAAGTTTTAGATTTTTCCATACACATAAATGTAGGTCGATCTACGACCCATTTAGTTGGGAGCACTGGGACGGAAAGATTTTATAAGCGATTTAGAGCAACTAAGCATAAACTAACTAAAGCCTCTTAAACATGGACCTAAATAGCATTAGGTGACGTTTGTCTTACAGGATTGTTTTGTGGACAAATTACTTTCGCTACTCTGTGGTACAGTTAATTAAAAGTGTTTTGTCAGTCCCAGTGTTTGTATAAGTGCCATTTTTATACCGTACGCCATATGTGGTACTGGGTATATTAAGTTTGTGCGGACGTATGAAGGAGGGCGCGAGATAGATCTAGTTTTTATTATACAGAAAGTGATTCTAAGCTTGTCTGTCCATCGGTACGTCTAATGTTCATCCATGTATTTTTTTTTTTTTTTGTTCGACGTAAAGATCACAGTTTTTGAGATGTGTTGATGAAGCTATGTACACTGAACTGTTTTGGACCAAGGAGAAATGCTATTGAAAATGGTTTGGAACAGACCATTTTTTCAACCACTTCCCTTACTAAATAACTAACAGAATTAGGCGAAAAATATCTCTCAGTAATGGTATTCAGGCGTTCTAAATTAGTGTGAAAAATTAGGTTGGAAGGGCGTAATTTTCTGTACCCTACAAGTCTGCCTACGACAACTGAATCTTTATATGGTAAAAACACCTTATTTTCAATATTTTTTGATGAAAATTTGTGCATAATAATAGTTTGACATTAATAATAATCCTACCGAATTTGGACAACATAGATCTATTTTCTGGATTTCTCCTCATAAAAAAATCTTAATAAAAAGTAAGCCCACACGATGAAAATTGGTTCGTAGAAGGAATTTTATATAAAATTTGGATCAAATAGGTTTTTTACTTAGACCCAACCATATAAAAGCGCTCTCACAAAAAGCAATGGCGAAAACGTCTGTCTTGTAATTTGGAAGCAAAATGGAAGCAAGTGGATATTATTTAAATCTTTGACAAGTAAATTGCGTTTGTTAAATTTGGATCCCGTTAGTTGATGCTTTCGGTGTCCTCCAGTGCGGGTACGCCGATGGAAATTATGCCTTTACATAAAAACAATGTATTATCACGAAAATGAATTAATGGGAAATGTCTGTATTAAGCGAAGCGATATGGGGCATTTCATCGCCCCTTGACGGCCTTGCCTTGCTTGTTACAAACAAGAGAATAATTGGCACACATTCAGTCCGATTCAATGAATTCTTGAATTATTGAGCTGAGCTGAGCTGGAAGAAATTCCAAAAATATTCAATTGTTAAGAGTTGCTTTAATGTATTTTGTCGCATTTTTATAGCAAAAATATTCACAGTTCGCTCCACTGTCCGATCATAATCAAATCTACCGAAAAATATATACAATTGTATGCTTGTAGTGTATCTTAATATACAGGTAAGGCCACTTTCAAGGTTTCTTTCAAGTCTGCTTTTTTACGCGAACCAATAGCCAAAGAAACAATTCCAAATACATGGAATACTCGTATACGTAGTATACGTAGTGTGTAAAGTAGAGAGTAAGCGGAGTTTCATCATTATTATTATATGCCTTGTTTTTTTTTTTTTTTTTTTTCTTTTTATTTTATTTAAATTAATTAAGTTGTTTTTTTTTTTTTTTTGTGGTAACGGTCGAAATTCTTGCCCTTATATATATATATATGTATATATGTGGGTCTTTCAAGTCATTTGTTCTTGTCATTTCATTTTCGGTAAATTGTTTGTTTATTGTTTATTTAAAATGAAGACAAACATTACAATACAATACGCAACAAGCGAACGCATAAGGAAAAGTCTTGGCGGGAATTTAGAAAAAATGCGTTTCGCGCAGCGGCCAGTGACTTTGCGTGCGCAACATTCTTGTTTTCTGCTTGCTTGTTTCAGTTTCTTTCTTTTCTTGTCGCGCATGCTTACGTTGTTGCAGGCTTTGATACTGTTATGATATCATTCCACACTAGATGATTGCTACACAACTTTCACATGCATAAATAATTGCAAAGAGCATTCAATGGCCTAACGAGGAGAGCTTTGCTCTATCCTCACTTCACTGAACTTAGCTTAAGTTTTTTTTTTTTTCTTTTTTTCAAATCTATTTTACGGTTTTTTGTTTATTTACTCATCCGCAGGCAGGTGAAGTTGACTTGAATTAGGTGTTCTTTTTTTGCCCTCACACATACGCATATTTTAAAACGCGCCACGTGTTAAAGTTAATGTGAGCAAAACTACACTTTTACCAAAAACTTAATGCACGAATTCCATTGTTTTTTGTAACGTGATGACGTCTCACGATCAAAAATTTCAATTAGGTGAGTTGAAGAATACATTTCTTAAGTAACCACCTAAGGGCTAAAAAATGATGGTTATCTTTCAGAGCAGATGCCTTAAATTTATGTTAAGCTTACTAAGTCTTGCTTAAGCTTACTGTATATGCATATATGTGCCTGCATATTTTGGGTCTTCATTTGGTAGTGTAAAAGCGATAGCCATGCGTTTTGGAAGTTTCTTCCATTTATTTGAAACCTCAGCAAGAAGCAGTGCACATCAAATGACAAAAGAAAATTTCATAATATTAAGCGCTTGGAAGGCAATCATTTATATTAAATTATTTGCCGGCTTACACTCATTACCTTATCTTGTGGGCCTTTTGATTTTATGAGTTCTTCATTATCATATCCCTCACCAGCTTTTGAAATTCTTTCGCTCTCGAAAATTAATGTGAAAAGTTAAGGGTTGTCATAACAAGCTTCTTCTTCGGTAACCAGTGACCACGTTAAAGAGTAAGGAAAGTAGACATAAAAATGGCCGTCAATGGTTAAAAAGCTCTGCAAACGAGATATTCCTGCATTTGGTTAAAAAATTGAGCGGATTTGTCTACAACTTCAACACTAGGATCCTACTGCTTGATCTTGAACTACAAATAAGAAGCTACACTGCTAAATTTCACATTTTAAAGCAGTGG